ATCAACAACTCTACGTTTGAAAGATCTTTTTTAGTTAGATCATGTAGGCTTTACAATGCTCTCCCATTAGTTTGAGAACCTTTGATTTTTCTGAGGCAAATTTTAAGTACAAGCTCTTTAATTTTTTGAATTGATTGCTTTTAACACATAAGTTGCACAAGACCCAAATACTTAACATTGGAAAATGTTTAATTAAATGAGTTTCGACTAGTATATATTATTGAAGGATTTTTATTATTACTTTTTAAATATATTTAATTTATTAATTTATTATTTCCTGAATCTTCGTAATCCTAATCTAATTATACCTAAAATCAACAACTCTACGTTTGAAAGATCTCTTTTAGTTAGATCATGTAGGCTTTACAATGCTCTCCCATTAGTTTGAGAACCTTTGATTTTTCTGAGGCAAATTTTAAGTACAAGCTCTTTAATTTTTTGAATGGATTGCTTTTAACACATAAGTTGCACAAGACCCAAATACTTAACATTGGGAAATGTTTAATTAAATGAGTTTCGACTAGTATATATTATTGAAGGATTTTTATTATTACTTTTTAAATATATTTAATTTATTAATTTATTATTTCCTGAATCTTATTGTACATTACATACACATATTTATGATACTATATTTATCGTATATGGCCTTCATACATTCAACCTATTCCGCAGTTAAAAAATTTCATTAAAACTACAAAAACAAATTCAGATTGTTAATTTAATCAAATGATATTTATGTTCAATTAGAAATAATTTCAATTATTAATATGTACTATTTAAGTATTTTTCCAAATTTACTATAAAATTTTCCTTAAAAATATTTAAAATGTCTTCGAAAAATACATACAATAAAAAACAGCTTGAACCAATAAAACATCGTTTTCGATGATCGCCAATGTTAAAATCTTGCATGTTTTACGTACGACTTTGTCATTGATTGCACCTCTGATTAAACTGCATCTTTGTCATGTAACTTTTTGCTTGCAGTAGATACCATCAAAACATTTATTTTATTTTATTTATTTATTTATTTATTCAAAAAGGGAGGTCGCAAGCCCATAGGGCCTAATTGGCTAGTCTACAATACGATTAAATATATGTATACCATATTATTTAATTAGTTAGATAAAGGTATATATATACATATATATACATATATATTTAAATACAATATTTAAAAAAATAGTATATACAGCTGCGTTCAAAAAAAAATAGGAGTGAGATAATTGTGCATCTTAATTTAAAAAAGAAAGATTTACAGAAATCCAATATTGTTTCACGATATTTGGTTGTTAAGTGTTTAAAATACAAAACAAATAAAATTTTGTATATAGGTTCATTAGTTTTTTTGGTATTCACTTTTTTCGAAATCCATATCCGAATACGACTGTTCAAAAAAATAGGAGTACCGTATATTATCTAACCTAAGTTAGATTAATTTCCTTTATTCGTAGTAAATATTAAAAATTTAACATAAAACTGTTATATTTAGATGATTTTGAGCTCAGTTCATAATTATTCCATTCAAAATCCTGAAAGAAAATGTCAGAATTAACGAAAATGAAATCTGTTCAAATATCTTGAAAATTATAAAAATATCGCGAAAAAAATATGAAAATTCTCACGGTAATTTCATTAAAAGATTTTTTGAATACTTTAGGAAGCCAAATGTTTTAAAATCTCTCATAAAAAATAAACATTTTATTCAAAAACGATAAGGGCTTCCCATAAGCGCTTATCATTTTTTAAAAATTAATCCCATTAGGGCGTCCCGAATTAGTAAAACTAAGCGAAATTGTAGTTATTAAACATCGTGATCAATATTCAGTTAGCTCAGATCAATTTTTAAACAAATCTTTTTTGAAAAAATTTAATTTTAGACTATAAAGCATATAGTGAGGTGGTTTCATAAATGGATGAGTTTTTAATGCATGAATACGATAACAAATTACATTTTTAAATCTAAATGAATTCAGAAAATATATTGGAAGTCCATTAATCGAAAAATATTAAGCTAAAACCAACTTTCAAGGAAGTTGTATAATAGGAATGATTCATGATGGGTCTTGACAAAAAGGGTATGGTCTAATAAATTGTAAAATGATATCGTAGACCAAATGTTGTAGGTAAACATATTACCCCAAGATATGTTCTCATAATCCCAATAAACAAATTTGATAAAATGGCGGTGTTGTCCTATGAAAACATTACTGATTCCAAATTGGTGGAAGCTCGTTCCATAAGAAGTAGGCCATTACATGGTTGTCAACTTACTGATTCTAAAGCAAAACGTTAAAAGACCTTGCGTATAACATCTTTTAAGGCTTTCTGAATAAATTACTGCGTATTTTTTGGTAATCGACCACGACATGTGTCATTAAGCCCCTCAAAACCGTTGTCGGAAAGACATTAAGTTCCGGAGGCTCATAGACCCAAATTCTAAATAAAATCTTTACAAAAATGACTGATGTTGTGCTGCCACACATTAATTAATAATATTTTAGATGAAAGTCTTTTCATTTTTGTTTTTATTTTAAAAATAGTTGAACTTAAATCAAATACTCCTATTATTTTGAACAATAAATTTTGTATATAAATTTGAAAAATTAATATTTTTTTATATAAATTTCTTAAATATTTAAAATAACGACTATAAAAATTAGAGAACAAGTTAAATAAATAAATTATAAAAGTATTTAATTAAAAATCTAAATCTTTCACTAAAAAATTTATATTAAACACTTTTAATATATTATCCTATTATTTTGAACGTAACTGTACATACCTATATTTTTTAAATATTTTTATAAATAGGAATATCTGAATTTTGCGCACACTTATTAGGTCTCTAAAAAATTATGAAAGCAAGGACAAAATTGGTAGCCTAAATAAATCATAAGCTGAATTAAAGTACGATTTGTAGAATAATAAAATGCCACAAATAGTTTTAAAGATCAAAACTTCTGAGATTATTTAGAGCTAAACCTTTTGCAGAACGAAATCTGTTTAAGAATAATTTTTATAATTCAAAAATTTTTAGTAACTCCTTAGTGCTTTTCATGAAGAACGAAGAAAATCTAAATAGCACTTGAACGTAGGGGTAAATACCACTATTTTAAAATCTAATTTCCACCATAATATTTGTGAAAAATATAATTATAAAGAATTATATATCTTTCTACAATATGTACATATGTATGAAGATCGTATGTTATGTATATAAAGCATAGATTTTTTTATACCATTACTTATACAATAAAATTGAAATAGAAATTATCAATATACCCCCATATAGTTTCATATATTTTATACACATATATTTTATACATATATACATCGCCGAAAAACTGAAATCTTTCGAAAAAATTTGAAATTTGTTTGCCAAAATATAGGAAAACTAAGATTAAACTTTAAATGATACATAGGTATATTGTTCTTCCTAAAATATTGAAAGCACTCTAAAATAAATAATAAAACACCTTCTTTAAAGATAATCATTGCTCAAACCTTATAACATTAATTGAAATATCAGGACAGTACGATTACATGGCTTATTCTTTAAATATTTTCTATATGTTTGTTAGGGTGGGTCGAAAATAGGCTTTTCTCTCGGATCAACTTCTAATAGTGAAATTATGTTGTATTTTAACGTCGAATGGAAGACTGTAAAATATTATTCAATTATTTTGAGGGTAAGAGCCGGCGCATCGCCGCCAATGTTTGTAAATGCGTTTATATGGGAAAAATTGCACTTTTTGGAGTTTTTTCACACATGAGGCTTTAAGTATTAATTATTGCATCATTTTATAGCAAAATCGTAATGTCTACAAAATTGTCTTTCCAAAAAGATTGAAAAACTCAAAATTGGTTAAAAAAGTTTTGAGTTATTAAAATTTCCCCCGAGAATTTTGTGATTCTGAAGACACATAAAAATAAATATAATAAAATTTGTTTTAACTTTGAAAAAGTTTACAAAAAACAAAAAACATTTTAACAACATTTTTTAAAGTTTGAAAATGGAGTTTGGAGACGCTGTTAAAATAATGGCCCTTTTTTGACTACAGATTAAACCGAGTAAGCATTATCCAATTTGACCAAAAAATTCGTACTAGCATATTTATGAATCTTATAAAGATAAACATATTTTTTTGTAAAATTTTAAAACTAAAAAAAAAATTTCTTATATTTACTTTTATGTGACTTCAGAATCACAAAATTCTCGGTGGAATTTTTTTTACCAATTTTTTGCATTGAAAGGCATATTTTTACATTAACTCATTAAAATTGTCAAAATGAAGTGTTTTTAATATTCCAGTGCTGATCATTCACAAAATGCATAAGGAAGTCGCATACTTTAATATTATCTCATTAATATTGTAATTTCCATAAAATGTTGGATATGACAATATTTTGTAATTTTTTGACCCTTGGACGCAGCTTTCAACTGATACCATAAATTACAGTAAAACAAATCTACAAAATAAAGAACAAATAAAATTAGACCTTTTTGATGGATTCAGCTCACGAAAGATCTGTAGACAAAAATGTTTTGGGAAGTAGCATAAAACTAAACAAGGCAAATTTTGAGAGGGGTAACAAAATCACTTGTTTGATTTTTGTACAAATTGAGCCGGTCTAATATGTATATACATATGTATATATATATATATATAAATTACAAAGCTCAATAATTTGTAAACCATGCGATATCAGACAGAATCCAATTAAAATATGAACAAATTAAAAATGACCAGCAGTTTTGATGATCATGACTTAAATTTAAATTTGTTTTGGAACACTTCATTTCAAAACTATTTGAAGCAATAAAGTATATAAACGACAATTATTTGAAAAATATTTTTTCGTACAAGTTTTTAACAGAACTAATAAAAATAACATGTAGAGCACTTAAAGACTTTCGTTGATTTATAATATTTACATACATACATACATATGTATGCAAATATGTAGTATATAAACAATTTGTTTGGTCTTACCTTAAACAAAATATTTTGTTTTTAATATTTTTGTTATCGAAATATTCATCCACCGGCTACTTTAATTATATTGTAGTTTACGAAATTTAAAAACATACATTTCTTTACAATAGCGTTTGTTATTATTATATTTTTATTTATTTTCACAACTATTTTCTGTTAATGATAATACATTTTCTTACATTCGTATGTACCACACTTATACATTTTTTCCAAAAAATATTTTTTAAGGCTGTGGAATTTTGCCAGTAGTATTTTGTTGTTATATTTTAATGAGCATTACTTTTGTATTTTTTGTGGTTATTATAATAAAATTGTTATTTTTCTACATTACACATAAAGCCAGTTTTTTCTTAATAAATTTCCTGTTGAATTTTGTATATACACTTATTAACAACAATATACATCGCTACCATCATTTAGTCTTGAACAACATATGTTTGTCTCTTTTCTACCCTTCCATTTTGTTTGTATCTTTTAACCGTAACTTAATTGCAACAATCAAGCTGTCTCACTGCTAAATATTTTTATACATAAAAATAATTGTATACACCCCTGGGTTGATAGAAATTAAACAAACAATTTTTTAATTTTATAAGTCAATGATTAGCTAGGAGGAAAATGGTTATTTTTCAACAAAGATTGCACACACGAAAAGTTTATTTTTGAAAATTTTTATCAAAAACTTCTGTTAACAAACATCCGTACAAAATCTACTTGCTAAAACACTATATTCTGCAAATTAATAGTTAAGATAACTACGCCCAGGGATGATAAATTCAGTACAATTTCTCTTTTTAGTACAACATTCGAAATTCAAAATTAGAAACAACGTTCAGAGATGGAAATGTTTATAGATTTCATTTTTTGTTTCTTTTATAATAATAATGTACTAAAGTCGTAGGGTTCTATAAATCGAATAGAAACGACCATCATTTTTTGAATAAACTATTTTATTAATTTATTCATAAAACCGATTATGGAATATGTAGACTAGGTTACTGGAATAAAGAAATGGAAAATAAAGCACAAAAAAACATTAAACAGTTCTGTAATCTACTAGTTTTGCATAACATATTCAAGGTGTTTACACTGAGCTTATTCGATTCTGAAATTCTAAATTCCGACAAAAAAGTAAATTTCTTTAAATTTACGCAATAAAAATAAATAATTACGGCTAAAGATGTATAAATTTAAATATTAAAAGTATCTAATTTAAAACATATAATTGTTTTTTCTATTTCGAAATGAAATTGCTCTTTTTCAATGAAAACATTCAATTTGAGTGGATAGCCAGCCCATTGTTGTATTTAGTTATCATAAACCGCACCAGGGTTGCATAAGCAAATCTTGGTTGAAAAAATTATTTTCGACACGTTTATATATAGTACACTTAAAGTATGTTTAGACTATAATATTTTACGTACGACTTTACGTATGGGAAATCAAATTAAATAACATCAGTATTTAAAAAAAGAAGAAAAGATTATATTTTTGCGCTTACACTATGGTTCTATAAATCGACTTAAAGGAATAGAAGAATCGACTTTTTGGCGGAAAAAGTCGAAGTCGACGTTTTTGTCCTAACCCTTTAAACATTTAGAAGACAACACTGATGCGCATCAGCCCAGACGCCACGTCAGAAACACTTCTGGACGATTGTCAGACGAGAAAGCACATTTTACAAAACCAAAATACATTGATTTCGAATTTTCGTCTTCTAGAAATATACTTTAAAGTTATTTCCGTATGTTAGTTCGAAGAGTGCATCCAATTTAAGTTACCAATTTTACTGGCTATTTATGGTCAATCATTTGTTACTAAATGTATGAATAAAATATATTTATTATTTAAAATTTTTATTATTTACCCAACGCACTAAGCAGCATTTATCCTGAAAAGCTGGCCAAAAAGAAAGTATGCAGTTCGACAGAACTGAAATATACTTTAAAGTTATTTCCGTATGTTAGTTCGAAGAGTGCATCCAATTTAAGTTACCAATTTTACTGGCTATTTATGGTCAATCATTTGTTACTAAATGTATAAATAAAATATATTTATTATTTAAAATTTTTATTATTTACCCAACGCACTAAGCAGCATTTATCCTGAAAAGCTGGCCAAAAAGAAAGTATGCAGTTCGACAGACAACAAAAGTTTTAAGTTGAGATTTGTAGATTTGAGACGATGTCGAAGTCAGGAAAGTTAAGGAGATTATATCCGTTTTTTCGAAATTGTAACATGTTTATGTGATATTTGTTGTGGTTAAACGAATAGATGTTTTATATTGTTTTTTTTTTATGTTAAAGGTATGAGTAACTGCTACTTTCAAACCATTCAAGGTTTCAGCCACAAAGTATACAGAGGTGTCATTTTTGACATTTAAAAAAGTCTAAAATCAGATTTTGAAATTGTTTGGTGAGAAGAGGTATATAAAATACAGTTAAAAAAAATAATTGAATTCGTTTTGTGCGAAAGGGAGGGAAATAGTTTTTTTTGCTCGTGACGCCTCTGTATACCGTGTGGTTTCAGCAATAAAGGTTTCTCAGCGTCAACGCAGTTCTCCTCGACGGTGCAATGCTTGCCTCGACCCACCTTCTAAATATTTTTCTTTTTTAGTTTAAAAAAACTAAATGGAAATTCCATAAAAATCACAAACCTTTAAAAAACTCAATAATTCAAATAAAAATATAATCTATTTTTTTTCCATACAACGAAAGCTCCCCACGAACAAAAAAACGGGAAATTTGAAAATGGAGGATCATTTTCTTTTTTTTCAACAACAAATGGTATTGTCATACCGAACCATTAAAATAACGCAAAACTGCCATTTGTATTTAAAGCCACATTAAAATTTTCCCTACAAACATTTTCTATTGCGGAATTACCCGACTGAAACTTGCAAACGTGCTAAAAGCTCGACAGCGATATTGCGGAAGTATATGAATTCTTATCACCAGTCGGGAAGAACTGATGCCAAGCTGGGGAACGTCTAAGCGTAACGTGGGAGATACTTCTGGAAGACCGGCAGAAGAATCTTCTAGATGACTCTTGGAAGTAAGGTATTGCCAAAGACTCTTCCATATGTGACTACGAAGTCACTTCTTGGAGTTACTTCTTAGTATCATCTTGATGAGTTGTTATCGTATCTTCCAGAAGTGTTCCTATCTTATCTTCTAGACGATGAGTTTTCTCTTCTTCTAGAAGATGAGTATTCTCTTCTTCTATTTTTATACTCACCAACATAAAATCTATAAAAATAAATCTAAATAATACTAAATTTTATTGTTTTTATTGAAGTAATTGAAATTGAAATAATAGAAGCAATAATTAATTTAATACCTAATTTAAAAAAAGTAATATATGTATGAAAAAAATAGAATTATCACCTTATGATAAGATAATTTTTACGGAATCTGTATTAATCTTCCAACTATTGACTTCCAAAAACTGTAAAATGTTGGACTGTAAAATATTTTTGTAGTCATAAATTTTATGATCAAATCATCAAATTTTAAGAGTTATATTTTGAAACGCATTAATCCTTCAACGAAATAAACAAAAATAATATTATAATTAATATTGAATATACATACTTTTGTATTATAAAAATAAGATTCTCTTATGCCCAATACATTTCCCACCAAAGTTTAAACGGTTAGATCCATTTTTTACATTTTCTGCAAATAATCGACATTTTTAATGAAATCGCGTAATGAAGTAAGACTTATACATAGAACTTACCAGATCCCTTTTTATATTTAAATTCGGCTGGAAGGAGTTATACACGTTCAAAAACTAAATATCTACTTAAGTTCAATATATTGGGAACGGCATGTTCAATTTGAAGAATATTTGTATCATATGATAAATCATAGAAAGACTAATAACTAAAAAAGTATCTATATATAGAATAATTAGATCCAAAGCTATATGAAAATTAATACAATTGTATTTAAAAAGGTGAGTTTAAAAATATATGATTTCAATATTTATATTTTATTTTAATATTTTAATATTTAATATCTTATGTGGGCAATTTCGCAATTTCGTGTCAAGTCAAAAAATAGACTTGGATGAAATTTGCACCAAAGATAGTATTATTAGATAGTAGGCCAGCTCTGTCAGTCAAGAACTGCCGGAGTTAGGGCCAATCTTTAGGTGAAAGATTAGCGATTAAATTAAAATTAAACCTCGAAAGTTGTTTTTAAGTACTCAATTAGTTAATTTTGTTTGCAAGTTTAAGCGCCCAATGGAGGTGGTTTAAAATTGAGCAAAAAATTAAAAAGTGTAAACAGCTGATGAAAAAAAATGAATACAATGTTTATAAAAATAAACATTAAAATGTTTGATTTTTGATTAGTTTTACGATTAATACAATGTTTATAAAAATAAACATTAAAATGTTTGATTTATTGATTAGTATAAATTATGTAGACTTCAAAATACATTTTTTGTTTTAAATTTAAGTTTTCATTAATGTTCATATTAATATTACAATTGTCTTCTTCTTTTTTATAAAACATGCATTGTTTTGACAACAAACAGCGAAGTTTTCTGTTGTTTTTTATGGTAACACTGCGAAGTTTAATCTTGTACTCAAAAACATCAAATGGGATTAACATCAGATTAAATTTATTTTGATATTAATTAATCTGATTATTAATTGGCATTTGATTGCCAACTCATAAACCCGCTCTTAGAGGTTATACTGGGTTTTTTTAAATGACTGTAGGTGTAATGAAGGCCCACTAAAAAAATAAACAAATTAAAAGAAATAAAAAAAAATTAAATTAAAAATTCAGGATGCACTAAGTAAAGTGAAATCATCAAAGCGGCTGATTTTTATTTAAAAAGTATATGGGTTGTGTCAAAATTAATTTATTTTTATTTAAAAAAAAAAATTAATTTGTATTTTAAACGAAAATTTTTCAAATCAAAAATTATGAATTAATATGTTGATAGAAAGTTCTCAAACAAATAAATTCAGATGATGAAGCATTGTCCTGCTGCAAATGGAAGTAAAATATATCGACGGGTTTACTGTTAATAAATAAAATCAAATTATTTTGTTCTTACCTTTTTGTTTTACAATTTTAGAAATTTCATTTGGACAAAACCTATAATCTAGACAACAAAAATATTGTGTTTGGTTGCTGAAACGCTCTCACATTACTTATTACATCATGTAAAAATTTAATTAATTTATTTATAAAACTGTAGTATTAATATGAATATAATAATTGCAGATGGCGTTTAAATACTTTAAGTAAAAATTTTAATTCATTTTGTTTTTGTTACGATAATGAAATACAAATAAAATTTTAGCTTAAAGTGATCATACGTAATCTAGAAACAGGTCCTAAGCGTGCAAATAGTTTAAAAAATATTGAATGTTATGATTTAACTCAAATAAATATAAATGGGTTAAAAATGCAATGTTCATCAAATGGAAGCCGAAACGTACAACTTGAAAAGATCTTTAAATGCTTATAACACCTTAACCAATTAAAAGACAGACAAAATTTAAAATAAAAACATTTTTAATTAAACATACTAGACTTTTTTTACTTAAGATTCACAATATATTAATTACACTATTTTTCTATGAATATTAAATTCAATAACTAATTTAAGTTTTACAATGAATAATTAAGACTGAACAGGACAAAACACAAAACATCACTGAACTTATCAAATTTCTACATTATTTTTTCGCGTTTA